GCCACAATGCAATCTTGGACTATCACTAAATGATGATCTGTCAGGTTTTCTGACTTGGTTCTCTACTTCTCATTTGCTTATAATGAGGCATACCATTTTTCAGTCTTTCATGGTTAGATAGCTGGATTGACTAGATCAGTTTTTTGCTAGAATAATATGTTACTGCAACTCACACACAGATAAACACTGAATATCAATTATGACAGAAAAGTGAACATAATAAACTAGAAAAGCAAAGAATATTTTAAACTTCATAATATAAAATGATCCCATGATCTAATGTAAAAGAAGAAATTATAGTGCTGAAAACTTCTCTGTTCATGAGCATATAAAGTGAAGAAAAGTGTATTGTTTTTAGAGATATTACCTCTGTTGTATTTGCATTCAAAGATCATGAACAAAGGAAATGACCAGGTTAACAGCTTATTCATTTGGCATAAAACAAATCAAGGAAGTTATAAATTAAAGGTTATTGTTTTTTCATTTGCTGATCTGGATGAATGGCAGTGTTTTACTTATACTTAATCTTAAATGCTGCTCTAAGTCTTTTGGAGAGGAATAGTAACACCAAAGAGATTATGGAGATGCTTGAATAAAGTGCTTCAGATGAATCTGAACAGACAAGCACCTAAATCTACAAGCAAATAAAAGGAAAGTCATTATTTGGGAAACACGGGATGGGGGGAGAAAACAATAGGACAAGGATTGTGACTGCTGCATTGAGTACAAATTAATAATCTCCATGACCACAACAACGATCATCTAAAATAGAAATGAGATCAGATTTAAATGGTTACATGCTTAAAGCCTCTGCACTCCTCGTGCCATTTTAATGGAAAACATTCCACTTCTGTACAGTTACAGCATCTTCAAAGGTATCACTTGCCAGCAAAATCAACATTTATGTGCTTTTCAGTCCCCAGATTGACTAAAGAGTTCTCCTATTCTACTAACTAACAGATAGGAGGAAAAGAGGCTCCTGCTCTCAACACTGAAGCCCTTGGACTCAAAAATTGCCTTCATCTCAAATAAGTAAGATTCCAAGGCTATCAGTACTCCTAAATAAAATGCTAGGTGAAAAGATATTAGACCAGTTTTCCACTGACCAGTGTTTCCATTTGCATATCACAGGTGTGTTTAAAACTGCTTAGACAGATGGTCCCAAAAGCTAGTGATCAATGTCCTGAGCACTGGGCAAGAAATGGAGTTTGGGAATGATTTTTTCATATCTCCAAGACTAACAGGGATGTTAATACAGAATGCATCATTTACAATCCAGATTGCAGTAAGAGGAGAGGATGAATGGTGGACAGACTAGAGCAGAGATTTGCTCCAGGGGGATGTTGGGAGACCAAAAGAAAAGTACCTGTCCAAATACATGAACAAACATCTCCATATTGTTCATATGCTAATTTAGTGAATTAGAAAGAATCAAATAAATGCTTCTTCCAAAGACATCTGTGGATAGGATAGAGAAGTACATTACATTATTTCAACTGGTTTTGGTATTTTGAGGGTTAGGTGGAATTTGCCCCTGCTATAATATGAAAAGATGATACAGACTAAAGTTTCACAGAAGATTTCAAAGTTTGTTTGCCTGGCTCTTTTTTTTAATTTCAAAATTGGTGTGCTAAAATATATTACAGTGTTTTTACTGTGTTATGGATTTGAGGTTTTGAATGCCCAGAAAAAATGGATCTGAGCACATGTAATCAAAATCTTCTGTGAATTATGCTTGTGCATGTAAATGCAGCATCACCCTCTGCACAGTACCAGCACACTCGCAACAACTCTGAGGGACTGATTAAGTGTTAATAATCTGTTATTTGGCTCCTTTTTCTACCCATCTTCCCACAACCGTTCCTCTGTTTCCAGTTACAGATGTTGAAGTGCTAAGTATTATCTCGGTGCTCGAGTAACATGGTCATGGGATTCAAGGAGATCTCACATGCTGCGCATTTGAGCAAGAAAGGGCTTGTGGTAACTCCCTCTACCTTTGTTTTTTCTCCCACAGTGGACCTGTACAGCCTGCTCACGGCTCTGCTTGTCTTCCTGTATTACTACTAGGATTTTATCTGCTCATTATTGATTTCAGTGAACGCTTTCTTCAGACTTTCAAAATCAACTGCTGGAGGATAATTCATCTCTCAAAAGATGTTGTGAGGTGGAGATGACTATAATACTATCTGGGGGGTGAGTATAGATGAGCAGCTGCAAACAGAGCATAGAACATGGGGGAATTGTGTAGGAGGAAGTCTTAAAATTGATATTTTTAAAGGCAAGTCAAAATAATAATTTTTATTACATGATTCCTCATTATGTTGAAAGGGGAAGGTGGTATCAGATCTTTGTTGATAGTTCATTTCTCTTAAGAGCTGGAGCTCATATTAGTATATCACTTTGTAGTGATATATATATAGTTATCAATTAATAGTTTTCTGCAGCCCTGGTTGGTTTTACATGGCACCAAATAGCTTGGCAGCCACCAGAAAGAAATACTTGCTTGATTTTAAGTTTTTAAAATTTAAGAAACAATTTAGGCAATGTATATTAGGCAATATTCCTGTTATCTATGACTAAAAAATTTGAAATATTAGCATATTTTCAAGCATAAGAGAACTAGGATTCTTTGAATGATTTTAACATTATGTTTAACATTATATTTTATTGAATGAGAGAAAAGTATCCATTTTTTTACCATTGAAGTAGTTAGATGTATATAGATTATCTCTTATTTAAAAAAAATGCTAATAAAGCTCGTTTTACCTTTTAGTTAGAGTAAGCTAATATACCTCTTCAGAGCTTCAACTAAGTTGCTAAACCTTAAATCTTCTGCTTCCAGTCATGTAACCTCACCCCACAAGTATGAATGCATAGGACCAAAATAAATGTGCCCCAAGAATGCAGAGCATAAGCAGAAATTTGGAGGTGAGTGGTGGCTGTGGGTGGGAAAAAAAGTGTACTTTCCTTTGTTTTAACCAACATTGCATTTTAATGACCACATCCAAGGAAAAATCAAACATGAACCATTGCCTGTACAGCTTTCAGGTGAAGAGAGTAAATGGAAAGATAAATGGGGATAAGAAGAGAGATAATCTGCAAAGAAAGGGAGGAGCCAGAAGAGGTACAGGCAGGCAGACAACTGGGACAAATGGGGCAGCATTCTCTGGAGGTAGCTTCTCTCTGTTCTTGCCTGGTTTGACTGCTCTACCTCTACCTAAGTAGGTGAAGGGGAGAGATCCCTGTGTCAGGGACACTTCCAGCATGGAGTGGTTCATGAGGGAAGGGATGCTGAGTGCCCACCTCCCTGGGATAACTGAAAGATTACTCATTTCTGGCTGCAGGTGTAGAAAAATACCTTATCTGGGGAGATGTTGTTCTCCCACATCAGTCTTTACACAATTTTTCTCACTGCTCTCACACTGTAGTTATGTCCTTTAAGGGCTGGGTGTGTAAGTCCTGACTATGGTAGGAGTTAGTGCATGCTGTATGCTGTCCCATGGACTATAACTAGGTAACAAATCTTTTTGAATCCTGGCTTGCCTTATGTCTTGATAGGAAAGCAAATCTCACCCTTTTGGTAGCAAATTATTTCATTTCAAGTATGCTGCTGGTAAATGATGTTTTCCAAACTGATAAATGTGGGATTTCCTGTGCTACAAGTTATTTTGTTTGTCTTGGCTGTTTATGTTCCATCTTTATGAAGCAATCTGTCTGGAGAGTGGCCTAGAAAAAATTGACTGAGGCTCTTCTTCTGATATAGGTCTTCATAACTGTAGATCTATATAAATTCAAATGTGAAAGTAAAATCCAGCTTCATCCTAGTGCTGAGATGTTGAATACAGATAGCTGTGCTTGTACTCATGTGCTGTATTCCTGTACCTCTTTACAGCTGTTCATTTTAAAGCCAGCTAATGCATAGAAGATGAAAAAACTTCGAGAGGTTTTAGGAAATGGACTCTTGCAGCAGATACAGATCCCTACATAGTCTTCCTGGTAGTTGACTGAAAATGTTACTTCAAACAATTTCCTTGCAAACATTACTCTCAGGTGCAGTGACTGACTTGCTTAATAGCCTCCTTATCTTTCAAATTCTTCTGTAGTGTAAGCTTTGTTCAATATATTTATTTTTCCATCCATGGTTGTAATGCTTGAAGACGTAACAGCAAAACAGCTTTTGTCATGTCTCTTCATATTCTTTTGGCATTCTTCTCCTCTTTCTTCTCAAGGCCTGACAGGTCATATGGACCTCTAGAAAATTTATTAATGCCTCTGTGTCATTACTATTGTATGAGCTCCATTTCTTACAGGTTGCAACTTTTCTCCTGTTGCTTTCCTTCATCTATTCTAAATACAAATTTTGGTTCTTCTGCCCAGTATCTTAATTCCTGATAGTTACAGGGCTTCTGCAATCAGCTCCATCATCTTTTCCTTCCCGAAAATATGATTATGAAGAGGACTGTTACCTAGAACAAACTGCTGTATTTCAGACAGTCTATTAAGACATTTGTGATTTTGGGTCATGTTAGTTTTGGTCCTTAGATTGTATCCATTTCTTAAAAGTTGTAAGAAGATTAGAGAATATAATGCAACCTTGCAACACATCTTGCAAGTGAGCAGTAGAGGGATAGAAAACTTAGTAAGGCAAAGGAGACCTGGGAGAGAGAACCAAGAGGAAATATATATTCTCTTACTTCCTTTCCCTGTTCTTATTTGGTCACACAGGCAAGGCAGAGCAGGATTAAACACAGTAAAACACAGTCTGTGATAATGTAGTGAAAAATAAAAAGCTGTCAGTTCAACTGCCAGAATTCTGTCAGATTGCTAGTACAGTTCTGTAAGTTTCCTAATTAAAAAACTATTTAAATATTATTCTGAGAAGTTAAAGAAGGGAAGCAAATCTGTGGTAGCCTATCTGCGTTCCTGTAGCTACTTATAGCCTGTGCTGCATCTGAAGCTACTGTGCCGTGTGATGTTTCAGAGAGGCTCGAAATCAGCAGCCCCTCCACTTTCTGCAGCTCCTGAGTCCCATTGGCTCGAAGGGAAAGCAGAGGCGGAGACTGCCCTGAATATTTGTCTCTTCCACACACCGTAAAACAGGCAGCCGGCATGCACTGTCTGACAGCGAGAGTGGTGCTTGCAGTTTGGAATCAGTTCCCACTCTGCAGCAGTCACTTGGGCATCTTATGCTCACCTCTCTTTAACGGAAAGGAACAAAAAAGCCTTGCAACATACCAGTGAACTAAACAGGAACTGACTACAGGGGAGAATTTGATGCAAACATAAAGACTATTGGGACTCTGTGACATAAATCACCAAGGTGAATGTGAAGATAATCCGAAACTGCATCTGTGAGAGAGTAAACCAGTATTTCAGAGTAGTCAAAGTGTTCTGAACTGCTGTCTGCCTCGGTCCTAGCTTACTTTAATTGTTTTCCCAAGTTGAAAAGCCAAAGAAGGTTTTCAGTGGAATGCAAAAGGAACAGGAGTTTTAAAAGCAGGAAGCTGAAAGGGGATCTCCATAAGATGAATTTCTCTCAGCACCGTGGGACACTCCAGCCTCTCCATTTTTGGAACCACAGCTACAGACTGCACGGAGGTGCCAGCGAGCCAAACGCAAAGGGTCACTCCTCGGGAGGCTGCTACGAGCAACTCTTTGTATCCCCTGAAGTGTTTGTGACTCTGGGCATCATCAGCTTGCTGGAGAACGTCTTGGTCATTGTGGCGATAGCCAAGAACAAGAACCTCCATTCACCCATGTACTTCTTCATCTGTAGCTTGGCAGTGGCTGACATGCTAGTGAGTGTATCTAATGGATCAGAAACCATTGTCATCACGCTGCTAAACAACACAGACACAGATGCACAGAGCTTTACCATAAACATTGACAATGTCATTGACTCAGTGATTTGCAGTTCCTTGCTTGCATCAATTTGCAGTCTTCTCTCAATAGCAGTGGACAGGTACTTTACTATCTTTTATGCCCTCCAGTACCATAATATCATGACAGTGAAACGTGTAGGGGTTATCATCACATGCATCTGGGCTGCTTGCACAGTCTCAGGCATTTTGTTCATCATTTACTCAGACAGTAGTGTTGTCATCATCTGCCTTATTAGCATGTTCTTCACTATGCTCATTCTCATGGCATCCCTCTATGTCCACATGTTTATGATGGCTCGGATGCATATAAAAAAGATTGCTGTTCTTCCAGGGACTGGCCCTATTCGCCAAGGGGCCAACATGAAAGGGGCCATCACTCTCACCATCCTGATTGGAGTTTTTGTTGTGTGCTGGGCTCCATTTTTCCTGCACCTGATTTTCTACATCTCCTGCCCCTACAACCCTTACTGTGTATGCTTTATGTCCCACTTTAACTTCTACCTCATCCTCATCATGTGCAATTCCATCATTGATCCACTAATTTATGCATTCCGGAGTCAGGAGCTCAGGAAAACATTCAAGGAGATTATATGCTGCTGTAGCCTGAGAGGGCTTTGTGATTTCCCTGGCAAATACTAAACCAAATGGATGGATATGTTACTGTGTACACAACATGCAGCACAGATTTCCAAGCCTTCAGATCCTCTTTCTCAGCAGAATTTGGCTTAAATCTTTAAGAGTGAGCACCTCTTTCTATCTCCCCTCTCTCTCATTCTTGTATCCCATTCACATGTAATTCATATTTCTGTAAAATGTTTGCAATGCATACAGTTTGTAGTTTATTTGGCTGGAAAGAGAAGCAGCACTTCACAGCAGTTTGTAAGAAGCAAATAAATGTAATGATTAATGTGAAATACTAAGAAACATGAGCAGCTCTATATTTCAACTGCTGACAAAATAAATAACTTGCCTAACTTACAGTACATATTGATTGATACTGTTTCTCATCCTGTTGAAGTAATTGTTGCAATCCACTATGTTATATACAACTTAAAAGAGAGCATATACCTTTGTATTAGTGGATTAGAGGTTCTCTGAAATTAGAAAGCAAATTTTTCAGAAAGATTAGTAAAACCAACAAGTTGTATTTATTCATTTTGAACTCTTTTTGTTCTATTCCACAGCAGCAATTTTAATCTTTGTTACAGTTATTGCCCACAGCAACAAGATTTTTCAAACACTTGCTACACAGACAGTTGAATGCTTGGGATTTGGGCTGGGTTTTGTTTTCCAGGCGATGACTGCTGTATGTCTGAGACTACCTTTTTGCAAACTTTAAATTGCTGCCAGGAGCATCAGTTAGCCCTGGATACATTTGCTACACTGGCATCCAGGTAGCCTAGCACCCTCCATTCAGCCATGAGGCAGATACAGTAATATCTTTGACAGTACCAGCACCAGTGTAAAGATTCACTGAGAGATTTACCTGATGAAGATAAAGTCAGAACTTCATTTTGAACATTCAGCCCTTATTCTGAGGTGCTGTGGGGAACAAGGAATATGTGCTTCAGACAAAAACACATCCTTGCTGGAAACAAGCTACCCTCTGCTCCGAAGTGTGATGTTAGCAGATGGGATTCACTGCCAGGATCTTTACAGAGGAGTCAAGGCACGTGTTAATTTGGTCTGAGCACTTCAGACCACACTGTGAAACATAAGGGGCTTGCAGAGGAAATGCTACCACACAGGGTGAGTGCTGGCTGATGAGTCTGGTTACCCATGTTCTGTATCTGGCAGCCCTGTGTGCTGCTGCTGCCTGAATTCAATTCACTTTTACAAGCATCTAATTGAATGTGTTCTCAGTTTCACACTAAAAACCCTCTCTCTCCACAGGTTATAGTAGGGACCTCAGGTCCCTAGTATTAGCACTTTTGGAGGCATTCAAAGTATAAATGGGAGTACACAGGATTCCATGAAGATGCTGCTTAACAACTTGACAATATCAGCTTCTATGTAAGGACACAGAAAAATTAATTTATTTATTCCCAATAAGTATAAAACATACTGGAAACTTGTAGAAGATCTCATAATTTCTGATTTAAAAACTCAAAATAAAATGTACAGCACAACTCAGGATTTAATCCAGAATACTTGATTTTACCAAGATGAGCAATGAATAAATTAAAAAGAGGACGAGCAGTCCTATTAGTTTTCTTAGAAACAGCTTGTTTCTTCAAGATGTTTGTTCCCTCATTAAAGGAAAACATACAATGAAAAGCTTTTCAAAGAGACCAGTGTTTGCTACCTGTGATTCTTCAGACAGAAGGTGATTTTTCAGTTGTGAGTAACTTTTCAGGATATTTTAAAATGGTGACAAAATTTGGTCTTCATTCTCTGTTAAATAGAATGAAGGACTTATGGTGGGTCTCAGTATTTCTAACTCCAATTTACTTACAGGGAGAGCAGGAAAGTAATTTGACTTTATGAATTGAAGGCTCTTGGTAGAACAAAAAATGCCAGAGAAGGGGAATTAAAGCTCAAGAGGAGAAAAGAATGAATGTATTTCAATTAAGAGCCTATCCAAAAATTCAATGGACTTTAATAAAGGCCTTTTCCTCTCCTACGAAACCTGATACTATCTATGCAAAAATATTCAGGCAATAATGAAAGAAATTGCCAGTTTGAACAAGGCACAAATCTTACATCATCTTTCTTTTGCCTCACCTTCTATAGCTGTTTTAGGACTGTAAATTATGATACTGGGATCCAGATTTTCCTTTGCAGTCCATGAATTCAAAGAGGATCCAGTGAAAAGCAGCACAAGAGCAAGGTGCTACATTAGGTGCTCTGAACATTACCTTGAAAGTCTCTGTTTCTCCCCTTAACGTATACAAGGACCAGACACTTAATTTAAAGACCTCTGAATTCTGAGGAGGATATGCTTCTGCAAATTACTTTCTGAACTCCCAGCTGATTCTTAAAACTAACAATCTCTTTTTTTGTTGTGTGTGGTGGCACTTTTACGGTTTGGGTTTTTTCCAATCTAAGCAGAAGAGATATAATTAATTTTCATCAATGGTTTTCTTGTAGTTTCCAGAAAGCAGTGTCTATCTCTTTTATGGTTGTTTGGACTAAGACTAGTCAAGAGACTTGTGACCCCACTAAACTTTAAATTTCATTTAGAAGCCTAATTTTTAAAACTAGCTTATTCCAGAGCTTTAGCAGCTCTGAGCTTGCTTAGCAGCACTTCTGGATTTGTTTCATAAAGGTAAATGTATATAAATACTTTTTTAAATGGAGATTTTAATTAAAGAGGACTTTTTCATTTCGTGGTATCATTTTCAAGAGCGTAGTTAATTGAAATTACTGGAAAACCTGCTACATAGATAATTTTCCTATTCTCAGATAATCTTTTCCTACTGAGTAGCTGAATCAGTTTGCCAGCCCCATAAATTAGTGTTGTGAAAGATAAATAAATTAATCTACCTTGTTGGAGAGTGGAGAGAGTGTAAGATTATTTTTCACACTCAATTTTCTGGAACTTTGTTCTTCTATTTGAAAATTTCCCAAGAAAATGTGATTTCTTTCTTTAAATAACTGAGGCTCTAATCTCTTTGGCACTTATCATTCTAGTCATGTTAGGTAACAATGATATGTTCCTCTGTGGGAAGGAAATGGTTTTGTCTCCACTTTACAGGTGTAAGTATTTACATTTTCACTCCTGCTGGAAAAAGAGGCTAATAGATTTGCTCAGCCTTCTAGAATGTAGTCTTTGCTTGAGCTGGAAATTGATGATAGTGTTCTCCACACTTTTCACATAACTGACTGATACATTTCCGGAAGAATTTGTAACTGAAAGTTAGAACTCCTTTTGCCAGGAAGGCTTTCTGCATAGGTGGTGGCTCTTTCTCAGAGGCCGTTTCAATTCTTCCTCTTCTCTCCTCCTCCCCTCTCCTTTCCCCCCCTCCCCCCTCCCCCGCATAGGAAGAGAAGTTCTCAGCCTTGCTCTCTGGTATGCAGAGAGATAATATGTTTACAGACATGTACAAGGCCTCCTTGGGCCAGAGAGAGTGGGGGAGGCGAGAGAGAAGAGGAGGAGGAGGAGCATTGCCTTTTGGCCCTGAAGGTCCGATGAGCTGCATCGTAAAAGATTGGTCCTTACATCTGAAATAAACCTTTCCTTTTAATCCTCCCACTGCCCTGGCATTCTTGGGAAGAATACCTGGGTATGTTTTACTTACAGTAATGTAACACACAAAGCTTTTGAATTAAATATCTTTCATCAAGAGGGACATCCCTTTAGCTTTGAACAAAGCAAAGGACTCCAAAAAGTACTTAGGATGCTGGGATTGGTCTCAGTAGAGTTGATTTTGAATACAAAATCTCTTTTACAATTGAAACATGCTGTTATCTGGAAGTAAGGAGAAATGGTCTGATGGACTAACGTTATTGAATGTGCAGCAACAATGATGCTTTCAGTTGTGCCTTTAAGAGGTATGCAAAGTACATGTTATTTTCTAAAAATCATGTAATACTAAAATTAACTAGTTGCTTTTAAACTGATCCTATTATACAGTGTATTCAGTGAGTGCTCCTTCATTCTCAAGCTTAATTCTGGTGGAGAAGTTTGGTCCTGGTGTTATTTATAATATACTGTATTGCTTGTAGGCTTGCTAGAAATTCCAATCTCAATCATACTGGAAGGAGCTCTCAGAAAATGTACCTTTAGGCATGAAATTTTCATTCTTTGTCCAGAAAATATCTCAGATTTGAAATTACTATTATGATTCCTTTCATCATATCCAAAGTATGTTAGAGTTTTCTCTTTGGATAAAACACTTCTCTCACTTATTACAAGGAATTGTCTACTGCTACTGCAGATGCTCATTGTCACATAAGCTAGGTTATGAATTGACTCTGCCTGGCCTTTTTTTGGGTTTTATTTGTCTCAAATGGTTCTGTTGTCCTAGTTGTTTTTCATATTTTTACTCACTCTGGTTATAGATGAAGAGATTTTCAGATCACCCCCTTTGAGTTTATAAGGTAAAAGTCTTCGTCAGTTCTGCTTTTACCCATTTTGTTCCCTTGCAAATGTTGTAATTTGTTTCAGTTGTTATCCATATTTCTGTATTTATATGTATTTCTGGACTGCCACCAATCTGAGTTCTCCAAGTCATCTCCTGCCTGTATGGTAGGTTTGTCTTTGGCCAGCAGCAAAACCCCCACCGAGTTGTTTGCTCATGCCCCGTGTCAGTGGGATCAGGGGAGAAAATAAGCACAGGATTGAGAAAGCTCTGGATAAAGACAGGGATATCATTTACATACTACTATTGCAGATGACTCAGACTTCATTTGGGAATAATGAACTTAATTTATGGCAAAATAAAATACTTACTTAGTGATTCAGGTAGTGGGAAACAAATGCAAACACTAAAATAACAACTTTCATCCTTAATGCTTCTTCTCAGCTACAACCTCAGTCCTTCACTCTCAACTCCTCGACCTCCTACCCCACCTGAGCAGCACAGTGGAGAATATGTGGCTCTGGCAAACCCACACCAGCTCCTCTCTGCCACTTCTTCCTCACACTTTTCCCTGCTCCATCCTGGGGCCTTTCCATGGGCTACAGGGAAACACTTGTGCCACCATGGCTGAGGGGCTTAGCTGTGCCCTGCAGTGGGGCCTCTGGAACCACTGGAATCAACTGGGTTTCATTGCAGGGCTGCCCCCCCACAGCTGCCACTGCTGCAGGGCTGGGTCTAACGTGGCAGGGAACAACACTGTAAGCAGCATTTCTGGTGCTCTGTACATTATAGTCAAGTTCCACAAAAAAATTCTTCACCTAAACTGTGTGCCTCTGTCATGTCCAGAGTGCCTCTTTTGTGTTTTGAGTTTTTTCCCCTGAGATGAACTAATCATCTCAAAATGTTCCCCTTTTGGGCTCTTTCCTGAGGAAGAGCTCTCACTGCAGAGTTTCAAAACCTGTTATTAGCTTCTGAATGAATGCCTTTGAACACTGTACTGATGAACCCTATCTTATTTCTATTGTTTCAATCCTCTGAACAAT